GGGAGGTGACAATGACTCGAGGGGGTCAGAAATGAACCCCTGTGTCCCTCCCCATTATTCTGTGGGTTCAGTACTTTGGGGGGAGGCTCAAAACCCCAAATTCCAGCTGCCCCCCAACACGGCTCTGCTCCATGGAAGATTTTGGGGTCTCACCCCCCTGACTCCCCTTTTTTCTCCCCCCTGTCTCCCCAGTACGTCGCCTTCGCCTCKCTCTTCTTCATCCTCATCTCCATCACCACCTTCTGCCTGGAGACGCACGAGGCCTTCAACCGCGTCATCAACAAGACCGAGACGGTGACCACGGGCAACGAGACGGGCACCCAGGTGGCCGTGGAGGTGGAGACCGAGCCTTTCCTCACCTACGTGGAAGGCCTTTGCGTGGTGTGGTTCACCTTCGAGTTCCTGATGCGCGTCAGCTTCTGCCCGGACAAACGCGACTTCATCAAGAGCAGCCTCAACATCATCGACTTCGTGGCCATCTTGCCTTTCTACCTGGAGGTCGGGCTGCGCGGGCTCTCCTCCAAAGCGGCCAAGGACGTGCTGGGCTTCCTGCGCGTGGTGCGCTTCGTCCGCATCCTGCGCATCTTCAAGCTGACGCGGCACTTTGTGGGGCTGCGCGTGCTGGGCCACACGCTGCGCGCCAGCACCAACGAGTTCCTGCTGCTCGTCATCTTCCTGGCCCTGGGCGTGCTCATCTTCGCCACCATGATCTACTACGCCGAGCGCATCGGCGCCGACCCCGACGACGTCACCGGCAGCCGCCACACTTATTTTAAAAACATCCCCATCGGTTTTTGGTGGGCTGTSGTCACCATGACCACGCTGGGTTACGGTGACATGTACCCCATGACGTGGTCCGGCATGCTGGTGGGCGCCCTGTGCGCCCTGGCCGGAGTGCTGACCATCGCCATGCCCGTGCCCGTCATCGTTAACAATTTCGGCATGTATTACTCGCTGGCCATGGCCAAACAGAAGCTGCCCAAGAAAAAGAACAAACACATCCCCAGACCGCCCCAGCCCGGCTCTCCCGGGTACGGCTCGCCCGGTTCCAACGCCCCCGGCAGCCCCCGCGCCACCCGCAGGGCCCCGGCCTGTCCCCTGGCTCAGGAGGAGGTGGTGGAGATCAACCGGGCCGGTGAGTGCCACCCCCAAAATCCGGGGGGGTTTTAAGGGTGGGTTTTACAGTTTGGGGGGAGTTTAGTGGGTTTTAGGGGTGGTT